GATGGATACATTTTATTCAGGGCTTTCTATTCAGGAGAGATTCTATCGTGTTGTGGCGTGGCTGATACGCTACAGACGAGCTGACAAATTTATGCGCATTTCCGGTTGCTCAGAGAAAGGTGCATTCAGTTGACTGGAGGCGTTCAGCACGGCAGTCCAACAACCAAGATGGCGCGGCAACGCCCAAACCTGCCATGAGGTGAAAAATTACCATCAGCGCTGTCCATCCCCCGGAGTCTGTTTGTGCAAAACGGCTGTTTCATGCTGATGTGCAATAGAAAAATGGAGTCAGAGGGGTCAACGTGCCGCGAATTCAAATTTACTAACTCTCAGTCTCAACCACACCTAGTCCTAGAGCTAGAGATGCTCGGGCGGCGTTGCCATGTATAATGCCATTTTTGCGACGTATAATGCCATTTTTGCGATGTATAACGCCATTTTGTTTTAAACTACCGTTTCTGATGTGCGAAGAAATTGAGAAGCAGACGATTCGGGTCCGCTCAAAACATGCTGGGACCTTTTTTATTCCCCGGCCAATTGGGATAATGGCTTCTGCATGAAATGGAACATCATATATGTTGGAAAGTCCCATCGTTTACGAGTCGCCCGCAACCTACTCTACCTCCCATTGATTTAGCTCAGAGAAAAGGATCCCCCTGATGTGTCTAATGTTGTCATAAAGAATTCTATTGGCCCAACGCTAAGTCTGGTAGCCTCTAAGTCTTTCACCGACGTCGTAAGGCTATACTTAGCAGCTAATTGTCGCAACAGCCGTCCCACACCAGATCTAGAGCCGTGTCCTCCTGGCGTCTGGTAGCGATACAAATTGGCGTCTGGAGGGGGTTACGTTGTCTGGCCATACATATCCCTGTAACCACGGTCCATATAAATCGGTCATCACCATCTGCCTGTCGCTTAGGGCAGGCACTCCGGTCGTCAGAAGTTTCCAAACGAGTTTCTCGGTTAGTCAATGTTCCCTGGACTGTTGCAGGCAAGCATCTTCAGGCGCTCCGATAGAAGATCAAACGCTCTCCAGAGAATGTTGGGCGAAGCCACCGGTGCTTGAAATTTCTACTCCCAAGCATGTTATTAGACATGTTCAATCATTCCTGGTTGTCAAATAAGATGAGGACAAACCGACCCGCGGTAACATTGCCTTTCATCCATACCGACAATTAAGAATCTCCCTGCTGTGAACGTCTTGCCGACTGCAGCAGTGACATGACTTTGTGTGTTATTACCTCCGCCCACTGTATGTATAGTCAATGCGTCTGTGAATAACATATATGGCTTGTTATGATAGGATTGCCATGTTTTTGTGGGTAGTCGAATATGGCCTCCCGAACGCTAGTGTTCGGCTGGGAAGCCAAATGTTTTAAAATGTTTAAAACATCCGAGTGTTGAAGAGAGGATCGGCCATGGTTGGCTGGTGTTCGGCAGTAGGTCTGGGTGTGGTTGGCAGGGTAAATTTCACCCAAATTTAACTCAAACCCTATTCGATTCGCATGGAAAGATAGGCGTACAGACTGCCCCCGAACTTCAGCCGACCCGGGGAAGGTTCTGAATGCGTGACACTGAGTCTTTAGTCACTCAAGAACATTGACTAAATCTGATAGCTTGTAGCCAAATAAAGCCCTGACGACCACAATACAGTGATCTATTTCACTTGGCTCACATGTATCTTCTTGCTCCTTCAAACGACTACAAGGCTTTACAGAAGCGATTCCATTGTGACAACTTCTTTGCAGTGTGACAAGGCCGCCATCTTGATCGAATCTGACGACAGTAAATCTCGTACCCAGGGTCCTATTCAATTTGGACCAACGTTCCCAACGTTCCCTGCGTTTGACATTGAATTTTGCTGTCCTGCAATAATGACAAATTCTTTTGTGGGTTCCTAGCAATTTCGCTGAAATTGGCGTCTTCTAAAACTTTCGGTTGGTCCTGCCACAAGTTTGGTTCCGGTTTTATCTTCCGCACCACATGATAGACTTTTAAATGATTCACAAAATCCATTGTCTACAAATAGCTGTTACCTGAATGTTGCTGCCGGGTATGGGTCAACGTGATTACCTGAACAAGTCAACTAATTTCCGTCTGAATACTTAAACAACTGAAGTGACGTTCAATCCAATTTTACAATCGTGACCATCTTGAGATTCCACCTCCTTTAAGGGACACAGGAGATACGTGTATAGTTCCCACGCCTACAGATCTTTAGAATTGATATGTAATTCTTACCAAGAATTTAATTCTCATTTCATACAATGTCCCCTCGGTGTAAAGTAGCTGTGACGTCAAGGAATTCACAATAAGGATCATCCTGCCATCTCTGGGTCCTTCGAAAAGATATTGAGCCATTTATTGTATTTTCCCGAGTCCCGTGGACCCTGTTTCAGAATTCCCCCGTCGTCTAGACGGCAAATTTCCCCACCAGACGCTTCCGGCGTTGTGCTGACGTGGTGATGATGCATTCGAGACAAGATGAAGAAAGAAAGGTTGTGGCCCTCCGGGGCCGCCAGACCATACAGGAAAATTAATCTCCCAAGCCTTCAACCTATCTCAGATTATCTTACTTAGCCTTCGTCAAGCACTTCGCGCAGGCAATAACAACGGGCTGACCTTTGCTTGATAGATGCAGGACCTTGTGGGGATTTCTTCCCAACTTAATTTGCAGTTCTGAGTGGAAGCAGTGGCTGCAATTCCGCGCGTCCTGACACTGATGAAGTGGGAGGGGGGCGGAGCCATGCGGCGTGTGAAGGCACTGGAAATGAGATGTCTGTAAGATTAAGTGCAGCAGCAAGATCTGGTCGTTAGAGACAGCTCTGACGTTGGGGAAATCATATTTCACCACGCTGTGATGGCGGTGGCCTTGGTGAGAGGTGCCGGCACGGAGCGTGCATATTGTAGCTAAGTAGCTTGTACTTAGCCAGCGAGGCCGCTAGACGTGCGTTTCCGAATCAAACATGTTATATTAATCCCGTAGTTTCACTGCACATTTAGTTAAGCGCCATAAAGGACCCGAGCGCATTAGCGAGAGGCTTGGCAGATCACGAACTTGCCATTATTGTAATAACTCTAGACCGTAACGCGTATTACGCTTGGCCGAGTCAGAACGTGCCTCTAGCGCCAAGTCTACGGGCCTTTATACCGCGCCCGGGTTAAGATACGATTTCAACGCTCAAACATTTAAATCATAACTCAAGACGTGGCGATATTTGCGATGCAATATTTGCCCATTTGAGATGATTTACACTTCTACGCCATTTGTATACTATCCACGGCTGTATATCGGACATACACAAGATACGGCAAGCATACATGAGATACAGCGGGCAACAGAAATATAACGCCATGCAGAGTACAGCTATGGAACTCGGCAACGAAAATGCGACGCTGGGATGAAAAATGATCAAAATATCTTACCCAACACATATGGACGTAAGTTATGCTCAACAGCTAAACGGAAACTGTCACAGAGCCTTCTTGTTTCCAACATTTCATTTTGGTATTATATATAATGATACCAAAAAAAAACAAGATGCCTAGATTAGAAATATACTAAGAGACGACAAATGTTAGGACACAAATTGAATGAGGTGACACAGTGTAACAAGCAAGAAGTCTTTTATTCATCATCAAAACAGCAATAAATCAGGTGGAACAGCAGTTGTCGTCCTGTCCTGTTTCTTTCATCACATTTTTGCAGGCCTGCAGAAACAAAGCATAAAATTGCGGCGCTGTCGTCCACTCTTTGTTCATAGTTACAGGAAGCTGAATTTCTTGTTTTTTTCTAGGAACAGGCCAAAATCAATGCGCGGGCGGACGTCATCCATAAAATTTACTTGGTGTGGCCTAATCGATAACCCTCCGTCTTTAATCCAGCGGCGCACCTTGCCTAATCAATACCGACGCATGACCTTCACTTCTGGTGAATCTCCTTCATCATGTTGAACGGAACAGAATCAAATATCGCCGAGTCGATGCACTTCTAATTAAGTGCGAGTCTCAAGAAATGGCAGTTCATTATGGCTCCGGTTCCGCCCGCGTGAAGGGACGTGGGGGTGATCATCTCAGATAAGCCTAAACGTGTTTGGATTCACTCTACGGTTTACATACAATGTTGTAGCACAAAAGACATGGGGTCGTGTGGCGTAGCGACCAAGGGGTCCCGGGTTCGAATCCTGACATGTCACCGATCTTGTGCCCTTGGGAAAGGCACTTTACTTTCATCACACGACTTTCCTCACTTAGCTCAAGTGAAACGTATTGTCAAGTATTGTCCTGTCCCGTATTAGTTATCTGCGTTGGTGGCGGCATAGAATAAGTTGAAAAAAATTGACTGTGTCGTCAACATGTCTAGTCATGACATTTTGGAATAATAAAAAAAGACATGCTATGCTGATGAATTGTCTAACGCTTGGGATAACTGGATATTAGTTCTGCTGTGGCCACTACTGTCTTCGCGTCCTTCCATCTCTTGTTATGTGAAGTAACGATGAGTAGAACAAGGGCCAAAGACATTTCCCTTTCCATCAGCTACAAAGTGTCTCCCGAACAAATTAAAGAATTTATTGCACGACAATTGTATGTGGTACAAAGTATGGCAACGAGTATTGAACATGGTACACAAAAAAGGGCATAGGATGAAAATTAAAACCCAAATTAGATACACATCAAGAGCTAATACAGTATACAATCAAGTTACAAATTAAAAGGTGACGCCGAAATCCTTTTTTTATTCCCATTAAAGCCACGAAGGCAACGAAAACAAGGGTTAGGTATAACAAGTCGATCGGTGTAATATAGCCAGCTGCCGCCGCGCCGCGTGCCTGCGAAGCTGGTGTGTTATGCCGAAAGGCGGTTATACCGGCTATACAGATACAGATACAGAAAACACTCACTCTCTATTGCTTTACCAACTTGTCTCGGTTTTCGAAGGTGTTCAGAAGAGCAAATTTACCGCCTTATAGCTGTTTATTCTTCTCATACCTTTCTAGGCACGATTCGATCGACTGGCGCCTTCACTATCGCCAGCCTGGTCATCAAGCTGCTGGGCGGGATCATCAACATGGGAGCCCTGCTGGACAGACGCCGCCTGGTGCTGAGTCTCGTCACGGGAGTCGTGGATGTCATCGCCGGTAAGTAAGGGGCTGGCCACGGTTACCCTGGGTGCCAGACTAGTATTCGGGATGTTAGCCGTTTTCCTTCGGCAGCCAAGAGCCCTTCGCCCGCCTATCAAAATTACCACTACGGGGGTGGCCGGCCCTAGCCTACTATCAACGACCCGATACTAGTCTGGCATCCAGGGTAGGGAACGGTTAACCTGGGTGCCAGACTGTTTTCATGGGGATACATAGACCAGGTCCTCGACTGCAGGCCCCCATAGAAATTATACCACAGCCCCCCCTCAGTTAGGTCCTGGTGCATGCTGGCTAACTCTGGGCCTACCGTGTTTTGGGTCTGCCATCCAGGCTAGGTCATGGACGTCGTATGATCGTTGTACGATTGCAAATAAAGCCCCTGTCACACATAGCCGAATAGGGCCTCCAGAACACTAGCCGTGGTCGGCATTCAAATTTGACTCAATTTTTTTTATTCAAATTTGATTTGATTCGTATATGTAGAAAGGCAGGGTGGGCGACATCTGGTCAGAATTGTTGACGAATTTCATAGATGCTGTAATCTTTTTTGCGGTCAACCTCACGACAACACAAGATTACTCTCAAGGAGTACCTTATAAATAATCAACCATGAAATCAACCCATGTTTGGAGATGCAAAAGTAATTGAATGAAGCTTAGATCCTCTTATGAAGAAGATACTAAATCAAGCGAGTTGTGGGAACTTTGACTAACAGCACTGAAACATTAGATGATAGCTGGAAGGATGTGACGAGATCAAGGCCATGCACTTGAACGCTGGCCTTTTTTTTCAGCATACAGTAAACAAAATTAGGGTACAGGACACTGTGACGACGGGCTCAAGTTACATAACTTATGTTAGCGCCGCCACTTATACGAATAAAACTAATATTACTAGACAATGCAAGACACTAACGAAGAATACATGTGAAAGAAGAACACAGTCAAATTGATGAAGCGAGAGTCCACATTCCCCACCCAAGATGAAAAGGACACAAATAGAATTAAAAACGTTTTGTTGCTAAAACGTAATTTTGGGCGCTCGAAAAGAATAAACCGGGGAACCGTTCAAAATTAAGAGTTGTTTCGCTCTATCTAAAAGGGTGTTTAAGTTAACAGAGTGTCCTAAGATCCCAGACCTTTGGTTTGGACGTCTTCACGGCAAAGGCACATCCAAATAGTTTCCTTACAAGACATCTTCAGGAGCAGACAGTACTAAGAATCTTTCCATGGAAGCGGAGTGCTTATTTCTATCGACTTCAAAATCTTGGTAATGTGCACTAAAATCCAACCGTCTAATGAGAGAGAAACTTTTCACCCCGCTAAAAGGGGTCTGGAGTTGAGGTCGTCCCTAATGTACACTGTGGTAAGTTCCCAAACTTGTCAGTATAATTCCCCGTAACAGCAGATATACGTAGATGCCGGTAACAGGCAGTTTCAATAGAGACACCGTAATGAGGACATTGTATACCATACGGCACTCAGGACGGCGTTCAACAGGTCAACAAAGTATCAGAATAAGCGCCCTCTTTTTGTTTCGTTCATAGCAGACGCCGCTGTCAAAATGGATAGGATTGTATGTGAATAAACTAGAGTCTCCAGACGGTCTTCAACGGAAAGGCCGATACATTTATTCAATGGAATCGTAGATCAGGAAGATGCGTGAGGTGTATCCGGATGACCAAAATGAATCTCATATCTCCACTCATCGATCGCCATAAGGGCCTGATCACATCTACATGTACCTCTGTCCTGCTACATGATGTAACCCAACACCACAGGGTGTCAGCTAGCACTAGTTACCATGGTGACAGACGTCTGGTCCAGGTCATTGACCTTATGTGTTTGGAGAACAAGAAGAAACTGAGCAAAAACAGTATATGATTCCTTCTGCGAAGGTAAACATGATAAGGTAATTGCCTCTCCATATAAAGCTACAATTCATGCTTTACGGAGTGTTTGGAGAAGAAGAAGAAACTGAGCAAAAACAATATAATTCCTTCTGCGAAGATAAACATGATAAGATAAATGCCTCTTCATGTGAAGCTACCATTCATGCTTTACGGAGCGACTAGGACGGATTCAGAACAGATGATGTTAAAGTGCGTGCGTTTACCGCGATGATTCTTACAGCTAATCTCAAGAATTCTTCATCGCGAATGGATGATTATACTTAAGCCAAGAATATCGATTTCATGTTCTATATTGGAGGAAAGTTACCCGTCGCCGAATATTGTATTAAACCAATCAGTAAACTTAGCAATTATTCATAGTTTTATTGAGAAACACTGACAGTTGGAATCCACTGTGAATAGCAAATAGAGCTGTACCATCAAATGTCGTCTGAAAGCTTTAATACGTCATGCAAAACAGCATGAAATGCGCCTTCGCAACCAACCGGGATTTCACCACACATTCTATAACTGAGGCTTGGGAAACAAATTGACATTTTTCATCGATCTTCATAACATTGTACGATTCACGTTCATACCTTTTTTTATGTCAAATTGAGCATGTTTCATTTTATCTTCAACCTCCTGGGACCAAATGTCTGTACATGTTCATCCACTTCCGGCAAATTCATTAATGTTCATCATAATTCATATTTATTAAGTTCATCATCATTACATGCACGTCTATCAGAGTTTGTTATAAGTTTGTACGTTTAGTTTTATCTTATTATTATGTCTTGTATTTAATTGTTTATTGGTGGCTCTAATATAATAAAGGGTTAATGCCCCGAGCTGCATATGGTGAGATAATCCTTGGTCAGATGCGATAACCACCGAATAAACCACCGAGTGAGCGTAGCACCGAATAAACCACCGAGTGAGCGTAGCACCGAATAAACCACCGAGTGAGCGTAGCACCGAATAAACCACCGAATAAACCACCGAGTAATTTGTCATTAAGCCCTGATAAACGATAAAAAATGGAGGCTTCTCATTGGTTTTGACGTCACTCGGCTATATCATAATGATATATGCAATTATTTGTCTCTTCATCCCCCCAAAAATCTCAGTACCTCCCGTCTGTGATTCAGCGGGTTCTGAGTTCACCATTCCGCTCGCGTCTCACCAGGA